CCTACCTACCACCACCCACCCCTACCCTACCGTAACCGTAACCTACCTTAACTTACGTTACGTTAGTTACGGTTACGTTACGTTTACGTTTAGTTAGTTATAGTATATATATATATATATATATATATATATATATATATATATATATTTAAGTGGAAGTACTGGGGCTTGAACCCAGGACTTCATGCATGGTAAACATGCACTTTACCACTGAGCTTTTCCCACCCACTGTATGCATATGCATGTATTTTTAAGCTACGTAAATGGTATTCTGCCTGGTCTTCATTTTGTTTTGTCTTTTCCCTTCAGTGCCATGTTTTGGATCTTAGATGTTGCTGTGGGTGTATCTGGAACATGGTTTCTCAGTGCTACCCAGGTTTCCATAGATGCATCCCCTACATTTGTACTTCCTGACTTACCACTTCCCCCTGTGATGAGGCCCCTACGCTGTGTCCAACTCCCTACTGCAACACATAGCACTGGGATGAAAAGTCTTGTACCCACCTCCTTCCTCAGCTTTTTAACATAATTTCAAAATGCTGACTTGGGCTTCCCTTTGATAGTCCTGGTGTTGGTGTCTGACAGGGCCAGACTTTTGACCGTGGTGAGGTCCTGACCTTTTTTGAGCTGTGATTATTTTGGGTAAATTACATTCTTTTGTGCTGCCGTCTTTCCCAGTTGATCATCTCACAGGCTCTGTGGTTACTTTCCTGTTTCTTGTCGTCCTTAATTGTTGCTCTATACTCACTCCAGCCATAAATACTGGCTGCTTTCCTTCCTGGTGAGGTGGTGGACTGCTAGGCTGGTCCAGAGAGTACTGTGTTGCGAAGTGTTTCAGAAAAGCGCTCTGGAGCCTGGAGCCTGACTGCCCAGCTTCGGTTCCAGGTCCTCCACTTCCCAGCTGTGTGACCTTGGGCAATTTATTTAATCTTTCTGAGTTTTATTTTCTCGTCTGTAAAGTGGGTCTAGTAATTGTACGTACCTCATAGTGTTTTTATAAGAATTAAGTAAATTAGTTGATGCATGCCAAGTCAATAGAACAGTTCCTGTCGCATAATAAGCCCTTATGAAATATTAACTAATAATAGCAATAATAATAATAACTATATTATTATTTCTGATAGGTGTCCCTGTTATATTTTGCCCATAATGGCTCATATGCATTATAGGGCATTTCCTCAGAGGGCATGAAGAGGGGGCAAGTCTTCTAGACACCATGATTACAAATTCTAGCGTGACAGCATCGATTATAAGGAGAAAGGTCGTAAACACATCTCAAGGCCCTGTCTGATAAGGAGACAGTGGCTACGGGCTGGGCCGAAATGATGAGGTCCGGCCTGACGGTGCTTGGGGGAATGGGGAGAGACTGGAGAAACTGGGAGAATCCTGGTGGTCACTTTGTGATGTTACTCTGAACCCCTCTTTGAGAGAATGAACAGCTGGCTGGATTTGAACGTTTGAGGGGACATGGGACAGAGCCTCTCACTTCAGATCCTGTCTTAGATGGAAGGATGGGGCTTGAAATCAACTCTGTCCCCAGCATTCTGAGGATTGTCCATGTGTTCAGTGCAGAAGGCTGCTCTGAAATGGAGGGGAGCAGTGGCCCGGGATGGAGGGGACTTAGGCATGGGACCTCAGTGGTGGGAAGGCTGGGACGAGAGAAGTGAACTTTCAACAGTAAAATGAGGAGGGAAGGTTGTGTTACAGCAAGAGATGTTCTAGTCTGGTGGGAGAGGCAGGCCTCGGCCAGATCATTACCCAGTGATTAGAACTGAAACAGAAGGTTGCCAGGCGAGAGTGGAGGGAGCCAGGCGGGAACAGGCTGGGGACAGAGGCAGGAGATGACCTCTGAGCTGCCTCGCAAAGGATGAGCTGGCTTCTCAAGTGGTCAGGAGCGTACCAAGGCACGGAGCTGTGAGGGAGCAGAGGTTCCTGCTGGCTGAACACAAGCCGCCCGTCGGTGTACAGGCACCGGGGCGGCCGAGGCGGGAGTGGTGGGCGAGGCCGGTCAGGCCACTGCCAGCAGCCTTGGTTCCTCAGACTGCGCTTTCAAACATCAGCCATTCGAGGACCGCCTTCACGGCTTCTCTCACCGTAGCGCGTGGAAAACCAGCTCCACTCGCTGAGGAGAAGGTGGCCCTAGTGAACGTGTGAAAGCACGTGACATAGGATCGCACAGAGAGTATTGCTTGCTGAAGGCTCTGCAAGGCCTGCCCCCTCTTCTGATTAAAAGGAGAGGGGGAAAAAGTAAATAAATAAAAATAAAAAGAGAGGAACAAGGATTCTAATGAAAGGAGTTGAGAGTGGGGTATAGTTCATTGGTAGAGTGTGTGCTTAGCATACTCGAAGTCTGGGGTTCAATCGCCAGTACCTCCAGTAAATAAATAAACAAACAAACCTAACTGCCTCCTACCCCCCAAAAACAAAACAAAACAAATTGAAAAGAACTGAAAACAGTAATTTTCTCACCATGATTCAAAAAACCCCTGTCCTCACACCTGCCTGCACCCTGCAATGGGCACCCTGGGGTGATGGCACGGGTATGTTAGGCTGGGAATTTCTGAGCATTGAGGTGCGATATGGGAATGGTGAGGGGGATCTGGGAGCCCTTGTCACCGTGCCCCTCTGGCCCAGATGGGGCCTGATGCAGTGGACACCCTACCTGTGCCCCCAGGCAGAGGCCGCCATGGAGCAGTGCGCGAGTGTGGAGAGAGAGGTGGACAAGGTCCTACAGAAGTTCCTGACCTACGGGCAGCACTGTGAGCAGAGCCTGGAGGAGCTGCTGCACCACGTAGGCCAGCTACGGGCTGAGCTGGCCAGCGCAGGTGGGTGTCCCTGCACGAGAGCCCCGCACCTGCCTCCCTCAGGGTCCCGGGGACCCCAAGGCTACTTGGTGCCAGGGTTCTGGAAGGATGATGGTTAGGACATTGACACATGGGTCCCTAGGCCTCCTTGAAAGAGGATAATGGAAGTGTCTGAACTATTTCCAAAAAGCCCATCAGAAATTATTCATCTACCTGAGATTATTTTCATGTACACTTTGTTTTCAATTTGCTTTTCTATTTTGAATTTTTAAGACATTTTAAGATAATTTTGCATTTACAGAAAAGTTCCAAGAATAGTGTAAAGAGCTCACATCGATACCCTTCACCCAGATTCATCAACTGCTAGTATGTTGCCCTATTTGCTTTATTAATTCTCTTGCATATTCTTAATTCTTTTTAAACCATTAGAAAGTACATACTCCTTTGTCCCTAAACCCTTGGTGTGGTTTTCCCAAGATCAAGGGCATTCTTTTACATAAGCACAGTATAATTATTAAAATAAGAATTTAAACATTAGCATAATACTATGACCTAATACATCTAGCTCATATTTTAATTTGCCAATATCCAGTAATTTTCATAAAACATTTTAATTTTATTTCCCAGTCCAGGATCCAATCCAAGATCAAATACTGCATTTAGTTTTTCATGTCTAATCTTTAGTTTTTTCAGTCTGGGACATTTTCTCTGCCTGCCTTTGTCTTTCATGACATTGACATTTTTGGAAACATTAAGGCCATGATTTTGCAGAATGGCTCTCGGTTTGGACTTGTTTGCTGTTTTCTAGTCCTTTTTTGCATTTGGGGCAGGAGTCCTTCAGAACTGTTGCGTTTCTCAGTGCATCATACCAGGAGGTACAAGGTATCAATTTGTTCCATTACTGGTGGTGTTAAGTTTGGTTACTTGGTTATGATAGTGTCTGTCAGGTTCCGGTACCCTAAAGTTAATAGTTTTTTCTTTAGAGTTGATTCGTAAGTAATTTGTGGGGAGGTACTTTGAAATTATAAATTTCCTGTGCTTTATCAAACTTCAGCCCACAGTTTTAGCATCCATTAATTCTTGCCTGAATTAAGCATTACGAAGTAAGTTGCAATATCAGTGATTTTTCCTGCTCTGTCATTCCCTATACATTTATTAGTTGCCATTCAACTGTAAGAAAGAAGCTTTCAAGAAGGGAGGGTGTAGCTCATTGGTAGAGTGCTTGCTTAGTATGCGGGAGGTCCTGGGTTCAGTCTCCAGTAACTCCATTAAAAAAAAATTTAATAAATAAATCTAATTATCTCCTCCTCTCTTAAAAAGAAAGAAGCTTTCCCATCTCCCTTATTTATGTATTTATGTATATATGTATTTATTTATTTAAGTTCATGCTCATAAATTCTTATTTTATTCAGTGGGTTATACTCCATTACTATTATTATTTATTTTGATGATCAAATTGGCTTAGATTTGACCAGAGGTAACCCCTGGTTCTTATATCCTTTTTTTTAAACTGAGCTATAATTCACATTAAAATTTACCTAGATTTTTAGAAAACAAACAAAAACAAAAAACAGGAAAAGAGAACAATAAAATAAAATTCACTGTTTTCAAGTGTACAGTTTAGTGGTTTGTAGTATATTTACATAATTGTACAGTCATTACCACTCACTAATTTCAGAACATACTCATCACTCCAAAAACAACCCTGCCCATTAATAATCACTCCATTTCTCCTTCTCCCTCAGCCCCTGGCAACCGCTAAGCTGCTTCCTCCTGATGGGCTTACCTATTCTGGACACTTCCTATAAATGGAGTCATACAACATGTGGTCTTTTATGTTCTTTCACTCCGCAGGTTTTCAAAGTTCATCCCTGTTGAATCATTACTTCATTCTTTTTTATGTGCTGGGTCTTATGGTACCTCTCTGTTTGACTTTTTGAGGAACTGGCAAACTATTTTTCAGAGTAGCTGCAACATTTCACATGCCCACCAGCAATGTGTGAGTTCCAGTTTCCCCACATCCTCACCAACACTTGTTATTACCTGTCTTTTTGATGATGGCCATCCTAGTAGGAGTAGGTGGGTGGCCCAGCCACCACCTCCTGTTTGTATTTGTCAGGACTCATTCAGTTACAAGTGACAGGAGCCCAGCCCACATAGCTTAAATAACAGACAAACAAAAGGGAGAGGGTGCTGGGTTTATAGACTCAGGTGACTGATAGGTTCAGCCCAGCTGGGTCTAGGTGCTCAGGTGATACCCTCAATCTACACTGGATTCCTTCTCAGAGCAGTGGTCCCCTGAGGTGGCCATGGTGCTCCGGCAGCCTCAGTTTGTTTAATAACCTGGCAGAATGCGTCTGTCTCCCAGGGCTTCTGATCTTGGAGCTGAGATGCTCCCTGGCCCTCTTGGCTCACGTTCCCTTCCTTGTGTCATGTTTCCTTCCCTGAACTGAGGTGCTGCCATCTAAAGAAGGGGCGTAGATGCTGGGCTGGAAGGAATGACCCCATGCCCTGTCTGTCCTCCTCTGTTCCAAGTCTCACATGCTCTTGGTGGTTGGTGTGGCTCCAGCCCAGCCAGAAAGGGGGAAATCACTGTGAGCCTGGAATCCAGAGCCAGAAGTGTCCCTGAGCTTCCCTGGAGACCATGGCCTGCCTGGTGTCCTCTGGGCAAATAAGGGCATTAACAAGTGGACAGCGCTTTATGGTTCAGAGTCTTCCCGCATGGCATCTCCCTCAAGATAAGGAGCCATCCGCTGTGGTGGTGAGGCACGCGGGCTTCAGATCTCTCACTGCTGTGAGATCTGGCGAGTTACTTCCTCGGCTTCCTCGGCTATAGGACGGGATCCTTAGAGTGCCCCTTGCAGAGCATGATGGTGAGGACTGAATGAGCCAAAACAAAGTGCCTAAGTGCCAAATCATCTTCATTCACAGCAACCTACAAGGCTGGTGCTCTCACCCCTGTTTTGCAGATGAGGAAATGAAGACTCCAAGAGATGAACCGGCTTGTCCCACTTGACCAATTCCAAGTCATGCAGTTAAAAAGTGGCAGAAACAGGAGGAGAAGCTGAGTCTTTCAGTCTGCAGTTCAGGGCTCCTTCCTGGGCCTCCGTGCTGACATTTAGAATAAGGAGGCTGGGACAAGGTCTGCTCCTCTGGGTCCCAACTCATTGCCAGTGTTTCTCTGCAGCCCTCCAGGGGACCCCTCTCTCAGCCACCCTCTCCCTGGTGATGTCCCAGTGCTGCCAGAAGATAAAAGACACCGTGCAGAAACTGGCTTCGGACCACAAGGACATTCACAGCAGTGTCTCCCGAGTGGGCAAAGCCATTGACAGGGTGAGCAGGTGGGCGGCTCCAGCCCTGGGGCGGGATACCTGCCACTGGTGCGCAGTGGGCTCCGCAGGAAGCCAGAGCGAGCAGTGCGAGCCTGAGTCACAGCGCCCTGTCTCTCGTCCTCGTCAGAACTTTGACTCTGAGATTTGCGGTGTAGTCTCCGACGCGGTGTGGGACTCGCGGGAGAAGCAGCAGCAGATCCTGCAGATGGCCATCGTGGAGCACCTGTACCAGCAGGGCATGCTCAGTGTCGCCGAGGAGCTGTGCCAGGTAACGGGCCGGCTGGGGAGCGCTGGCTCTCTGCTTGGTGGTTTTCTTTACATTAGGTCCCTGTTACTCTTTTTTGTTTTTATCTTTTGTGTCCAGACAAGTCAGTTTGTTTACATGACTCAGATACGTGCATCGTCAGTCTCTGAGTCTGATAGGTGTATGCGTTCTCAGAGACCCGTCTCCAGTGGGCGGGAGGCCCCGCGGGGCACCCTCGCATCTGGACGGCGCACGGGAAGTCCAGGTTCCCTTCGAGACCTCTCCTTCACTTTGCTTCCATTGTAGACCAGCCCCTTTCTGTTGATGCCTTCTTTCTTTAAATGAGTTAATATCTATTTTAAAATTTTTATTTAATTTATTTAAACTAAAAAACTCAAAACAGTTTACCGTTTTCTCCCACTCCCTACCCTCTGCCTCTGGCAGCCACCAATCTGTTCTCTGCATGTATGCACTTGGCTTTTTTAGAAAATTTTTTTAGTTTTTTAGATTCCACATATATGTGAGATGATATGGTATTTGTCTGTCTCAGCTGACATATTTCACTCAGCATAATGCCCTTGAGCTCCATCCGTGTTATCACAAATGACAGTATGTCCTTTTTTTAATGGCTGAATGTTATATCGTATATCTATATATCTCTATATATATCTCTCACATTTTCATTATTTATCTGTCGATGGACACTTAGGTTGTTTCCTCATCTGGACTATTGTAAATAACGCTGCAATGAACACAGGGGTTCTTTGGATAAACACCCAGAAGTGGGATTGCTGGATCGTATGGTAGCTCTCTTGTTAATTTTTTGAGGAACCTCCATACTGTTATCCACAGTGGCTGCAGTAATTTACACTCCAATCAGAGGTGAATGAGGATTCCCTTTTCTCCACGTCCTCGCCAACACTTGTTCTTTCTTGTCTTTCTGGTAACAGCCATTCTGACAGGTGTGAGGTGGTGTCTCGCTGTGGTGTTGGTTTGCCTTGCCCTGATGATTACTGACGTAGAGCATCTATTCATGTGCCCATTGGCCGTTTTGTTGCCGCCTTTGGAAAAATACCTATTCAGATCTCCTGTCCATTTAAAAAATCAGATTGCTTATTTTTTTTGCTATTGAGTTATGTGAGTTCTTTATATATTTTGGATATTAGCCCCTTATCAGATGTGTAATTTGCAAATATTTTCTTCCATTCAGTAGGTCACCTTTTCATCTTGTTGATGGTTTCCTTTGTTGTGCAGAAGCTTTAAATTTAATTTGACGTTGTCCTACTTGTTTGTTTTTGCTTTTGTGGCTTCTTTAAATAAATTTATTTTAGAAATCAGTGTCTTTGACATAAATAGAAAGTGGCTATAAAAATATTACAATGAAAAGTGAAGTTATTAATTTCTAGCTAGAGTTGATTGCCAGGCAGGTTCTGAGTGCCTGACAGTCCCTTTCTTAAAAAGGAAGATGAGTAAAATGGCAGAGTAGCCTTGTTAGGGTTAGAGACGCACTAGCAGTGGAAGTAAAGGGTGCCTTCCCTGAATGTAATGAGGGTTGAAAAGGAATAATTTTCTCTCCATGCTACTCAGTATGGGTGCCCAGTACCCCACAGGTGGGGTGGGATTTGTATCTGCCCTCCGGGAGGCCAGCATGCAGCTGTCAGCCTCCCAGAACTGAGGTGGAAATGAGGGGTCCAGGTGGCTGGCAGGAGGCTGTGGCTTCTCATGCAAAACCTGGCCCTCACTAGCCTGTCTTTTGTGGATAAGGTTTTATTAGGTGCAGAGCAGACAGTTTTGGAAACACTGTGCTCCAGGGGTGGATTGCTCTCTCCCTGTAGGAATCAACGCTGAACGTGGACTTGGATTTCAAGCAGCCTTTCCTGGAGTTGAATCGAATCCTGGAAGCTCTGCACGAACAAGACCTGGGGCCAGCACTGGAGTAAGTTGGCCCTTGGCGGGGTCTGCGGGGGGCAGGGCTTGTCTGTGTTCTTCACCTCACCCGCTGTACATGACGTGCCTCCTGCCTGTCTCATGGGCCTCACGTAGGCTTTTGAAGTCTCTGCCAGGGCCCTTTCCCTTGCGCCACCGGCTCCACGCTCACCTGGCCCCTTCCTTCCCAGGTGGGCCGTCTCCCACAGGCAGCGCCTGCTCGAGCTCAACAGCTCCCTGGAGTTCAAGCTGCACCGACTGCACTTCATCCGCCTCCTGGCAGGCGGCCCCGAGAAGCAGCTAGAGGCCCTCAGCTACGCCCGGCACTTCCAGCCCTTTGCTCGGCTGCACCAGCGGGGTATGTGCCCCGGGTGCCGGGGTGGGCACGGCTGGGCTCTGGCCGGGGGTCAGCATGTGCGGGATTGCCTGTCCCTGCCCCACGTGGTCCCTGCCCCACCATCTCCCAGGTGAACTCCAGACTCAAGGCCTTTCCTTGCCTGCCTCTGATGCACCCTCCTAGGTTCATCTCACACCACCTCAGGTGTGCCCCTGCCCTGTGCCACACACGCCCCGCCTAGAGCTCACCGCCACCCACTGGCCTTCACACCAGGACTTCCAGACCCCATTGGTTTTAGCCTCACTTTCCAGATGTTCACAATTAGTAACCACCCGACCGCCAGTAACTTTTTTCTTTAGCTCCACTCATACTTATTACTTCACGTTTTACTTAGAAATAAACACCAGCAATGTTACGAAATCTTAGCTAGCTACTGCTGCCTCCTGAAAGCTTTTTAAAAAGGAAGGTTAGCTAGTGTTTGGAGAATAGAGATGTGAGCACCAACCTGAGATGGCGCCTGGATGTGACTGGAAGTGTGGGAAGAGAACTGAAGCCCCTCCCTACCTGCTGCACATGGTCACGCCTGCCCCGCCCCACAGAAGCAGCCCAGAGGCCCCACCTCCGCACTGGAGAAAACCGGTTTTGCTGGAGGGCATTTTAATCCCTGCTTGGCCAGGTCACCGGCCTGGGAGCCACAGGGCTCAGCCTGCTCCCCCTGCTGCCCCCGCAGCCCTGCCCCCGCCCTGGGGCTGGATGAAGAGTCCTGGGGAGAGGCTGCGCCCTGACATCCCCTTGCTTCCTAGAGATCCAGGTGATGATGGGCAGTCTGGTGTACCTGCGGCTGGGCTTGGAGAAGTCCCCCTACTGCCACCTCCTGGACAGCAGCCACTGGGCCGAGATCTGCGAGACCTTTACGCGGGATGCTTGTTCCCTGCTGGGGCTTTCCGTGGAGTCCCCCCTCAGCGTCAGGTACAGCTGGCCCTGGGGGCACAGCCCCAGTGGGAGGGTTTCGAGGGAAACCCAGTTTGCCAAGGCCACATCGAGGGACGGTGCTCCTACCTAAAATGGCTGTCTCAGTCATTCTCCCAGGGAGGAATTACCTTTGTTTGTACAGTTGGAGAAACTGAGATTAGGAGAGCTGTGGCACGAGGTCACCACAAGGTCAGCAGCAGGGTCAAGGTTCCCATTTTGTAAGATCTCTTGAACAAGGTCTGTGTCTCCTGCACCTCACCCCTGGATTGTCACAGCCCAGCCCTCTTACCAGCTCATCTCTCAAAGCTGTTTCCCCTCAGGGAGACCTGAGAGTGGCTGAGTCACGCGTTCTGAGAGCTTTCCTTTGGAAGGGTTCCTTTACAGTGACATTCTTCTCAGGGCTTCACACAAACCTGGGAGTTAGAGGTCCTGCTGTCCTCATCTTCCATGAGCAGACAGGCTCCTGGGGCCTCACAGGGAATGAGGGTCACCTGGACGCGGCCCCGCCGCACCCCGCACCACGGCGGTGCCTTTATTTAGCCTGGCTGTGGGGTCTCATGCCGTGCTCCAGCGTGGTGGCCTCCACCCTCCAATTTGTTACCACGGACTCGGGTTATAGAACAGTCTTCCCAGCGGGAGCATCACCGGCCCCTCAGACAGGACGGGTCTGTGGTGCGCGACCACCCTGCGCATAGTAGGTATTTGGTACCCAAGGCTCCAACCAGTCGGCTCCCCACTCCCACCCCATCGTTGTCAGAACTGAATCCACTTCCCCCATTTCTAAGCACCCTGGTTGATAACCAGTGGCAGAGGTGCGCTGTGACAGCAGAGGGGTAGACAGGCAGGATGGGGTCCTTTCAAACTGATCACTGCCCCTGTCACACCCAGGACTTAGCAGTGGCTTAGGTGAGCAGATGTCTGCCCCCGGATGCTCCTTTTGTCTTTCCTGTAAGTTCTCAAAATTTGGGGTGCATTAGAATGACTCTCTAGAGTTCGACACACACAAGCACATTTTATGAGTGACCTGAGAGATTTTTAAGGACCAATTTGATCATGTGCCACTTTGGAACCCTGTCCTGAGTCATGTCCCGACGACAGTGTGCTGGTCCTTTTGTCTGTCTGCTGGGTTCTTCGCGAGGTCACTCCAGCCTCTGCTCTTTGTCCTGCAGCTTTGCATCTGGCTGTGTGGCGCTGCCCGTGCTGATGAACATCAAAGCTGTGATTGAGCAGAGGCAGTGCACCGGGGTCTGGAGTCACAAGGACGAGTTACCGGTGAGGCCTGGCAGGGGGAGGTGCGGCGGAAGGCGCAGGGGAGGACAGCCGCCGCGGGAAGTGGGACTCACTGCTCTGCTGGCCTCCCCAGATTGAGATCGAACTAGGCATGAAGTGCTGGTACCACTCAGTGTTCGCGTGCCCCATCCTCCGCCAGCAGACGTCAGATTCCAACCCTCCCATCAAGCTCATCTGTGGCCACGTTATCTCCCGAGATGCACTCAACAAGCTCATTAACGGAGGAAAGTAAGTCCCCAGCTCACCATTCTACCTCGGCTTGGCTGGTCTGCTGGCCAGCCCCGAGACGTTCTTGCTTCTCCTCCCCTTGTAGGCTGAAGTGTCCCTACTGTCCCATGGAGCAGAACCCCGCAGATGGCAAACGCATCATATTCTGATTCCTGCCTGAACTTTGCCGAAAGAGATTTTTCATCCAAGAGCCTCGGCCTGTCTCGGTAGGGGTGGTTGGCTTCCATGGACTGTGGCTCATTTCAGAGCAACTGGCTGAGGAGTGCCACCACGGGCAGGGGCCAAGGCGGGAGGTGAAGCATCCTGCACTGGGCAGCTGGCTCCGTGGCTCTGAGGGCAGGGAGACGCTGGCCTCTATACCTGCTGTCTCTCCCTGTTTATTTTTGCTGCTTAGTAGCAACCGACAGAGGAGCAGAGGGCTTGGCCAGTACAGCGGATGTCTCCCGTCCCTGTGCTCAGCCGGGTCTGTGACCGCCACACCAGTGCCAGCCTCACAGCTGCGTGTCCACGTCCCACTGTAAATAGTCCACGTTACAACCTGACGCCTTCGTTTTATAACTGAGCAAATATATTCACAGGCCTCCTTCCTGCGCTACCCTTTAGCTTTACTGATGAAGCATTACTACGTGCCCACGGCACACAGGCACCGGGCATGGCCTGGCTGCTGCTGTCGGTGGGAGAATGGTAGCCACACAGCTCAGTCAGAAAGAACCCAACCTGCATCTCTGATTGGGAGAAAAAGCTGGGAGATGTCAGGCCCTGGGCAAGGCACGTTTACATATGCATATATGAAGTCTCATTACCTTCTCAGTAGGAATGAGTCTGAGGGGGATGTAGGAGGATGAAATGACTTGCCCAGAAGGGCACACAGCTTATCAGAAAGAGAGCTTAGAGTTTTAAACCAGATCCAGCCCTCAAGCCCAAGATCTTTCCAGTTTTTTCCCAGGGCGCCTGAAGCTTGGTTGCTAGGTGTACTGAGTCCTGCGCGGGGCCTTTGAGAGCAGGAAGGCACCATAAATCTAAAATGTTTAAGGGATTACGTTACTGGGGCCATTATGCCAGGCAGGAGGGATGGCCTGGGGCTTTGCATTTTGCTTCATATACCTATTTAAAATTTACTGTGGGTGGGTAAATTGCTTCTGTCAGCTTCCCAGTGGCATTTAAGGCTCCTGGGGAAAAAAGGAAGAGGAACTGGGGTGTCCCTGACAAGGGCTACCGGCCTCCGTGCAGTGGGGTCTGGGCTCAGCTGCTTCACCCTGCAGCTCCCACCTACTCTGGAAGCGGGCGTGGAAAGCTCGGGGGTGGGCAGCGGAGTCTGCTCAGCTGGAGTCTAGCACCAGCCCTGACAGCCAGGCATTGGCATTGAACATTCCTGAAGGGCTCAGGTTCTCCAGTGAAAAAGCCTGCTTCTGCTCCTTCCTGCCCACCAACTCCTTGGCCCCACGAGTAGCTGCTGTTTAAAAAAAAAACACCCACAGGCTCACATTTTAGTTTCAGCATTTACTTCCCCCACACCACATTCTTGGAACCATCTTCGTTGAAGCTCAACAGGAAACAGCAATGATGGAGAAGTTGCCGGCTTTGCTGTGGAGACCTAGCTGCTGGAGCTGTCTGGGAAGAATCCGTGCCTCCGGGGACCAGGGAGATGCTGCGAGTGTGGGCTGCAGGAGGGCAGCCAGCTGGCCTGCCACCAGCCCAACAGATTCTGGAGCAGGTGCCCAGGTTGCTGCCGAAGTCCTTCACATGGGCGGGGGCAGAGCTTGCACCTCCTCCAGGCACTCGTCGTAGGCCTCCTGGTATTCCTCGTGGGGCTTGACCATTATCACGCAGGTGGGGCGCTTGGAGCCAGCGGCTGCACCCAGGTCCTGTAGAGAAGGAAAGAGAAAGGCTGTTTGGAAAAAAAGCCACATAACCTGTGTACCAGGGAGTCTCATAGTGATGACCCACCAGCCTAATCCAGCCCACAGACGTGCTAGTCCATCAACATTAAAAACATTTTGAATTGGTTGCCATCATTTAAGCTCAGCAAATGTTCGAGCTGTGGTCCAGCAACACTGGGCCTATATTCCCACCCAGCAACTGTGAAAGGGCTCCAGCCCAGCAGGGGCTGTCCCCTTAGGCAGGGCCTGTGCTTGCCAGGTCCCTGCCATCCCCCACTCCCTGGACCCCAGACCTATGGCCCCTGCTATGTAAGGATAAGGACAGTGGCAGGTCCCTAGAACACATCCTCTGGACACTGCACCCACCTAATAGGACCAACACATCCAAGTACACGTTCTGTTTCATTCCCACTGTCCATGGAGAAGGGGATTCCCATTTCACAAGTGCAGAGAGGAAACTTATCTGCAGTCCCACATCTAGGAAGCAGCAGAGCCAAGAATCCATCCGGGCCTGTCTCAACTCCAAAGCTTGTGCTCTTTCCCACAGTGGCCTGCTGCCACGCACCCAACCCCAGACCCCCTCCTCCTGCACTGACCAAGATCGGGGGGCTCACGTGCTCTTTACCGTCTTAGAGGGGATATAGACATAGGGCAGATTCCGGTCTTCACACATAACTGGGAGATGACAGTATACCTCAATGGGTAATGTGTCTCCTGCCAAAACCATGATCCTGAAATGGGAGAAACCACTGTCATTTTGAGCTTGCTCATCCCCTCTTTCAGTTGTGAGTGCCTTACCACTAAGGATGGGCCTTGAGGGCACAGAGATGGGCAAGATGGTCGCTGACCTCAAGGAGCCTAATTATTAATGTTTGTCTCCCAAACTCTAGAAGTGTGTGCAGATTTGTTTGGTGAGTACATTCCTCTGGGAAGGTGATGTCTATTGCTTGGCAATAAGTAAATGTCACCAAGTGTGGCAAATAGTATTGCGCTGGGACAGATAAGGTATGGGAGGGATGCCAATGAGTAAGAGCTCAGCTCTCCTGGACAATCAAAAGAGTAATCAGGAGGTGACACCTGAATGGAAAGCTGAAATGAACATCTGTCAGGCAGCCCATGGAGGGGCTGAGGCAGGGAAAAACCTTTAAGGTTGAGAGAATCAGAATGGCACCAGATACACAGGGGCTGGCTGTTGGAATCCAGGATGGGGATGGGGCAGACAAGAAGGCTAAAGAGATTAGCAGGGCCATACCCAAGGGCCCTGAGTGTAAGGCTCAGTCCCTAGAGTGACAGGGAACCAAAAAAAGCTTGCCAGAGAACCCTCAGTTAGGGCTCCTAGTTGCTAAAGTGTCAGGGTTCTGGGGCAAGGGCCTCTGAACTCCTGAAGACACAGAGGAAGAGTCTGTTCCGCAGGGGAGTGAGAGGAAAACACAAGGAAAGAGCTCTTGGTTCAAAGCACTGCACACACACCCCTAGTTTTCCTTTTGTCATGTAGGCTCTCCTCCTCTGCAGGCTCTTCTTCCTCTGAGTAGTCTTTAAGTGCTGGTGTTCCCACAGCTTGGTCCTTGGCTACCCTGTCAGCACTCAGCTGACCCCATCCATAACCACGGCTTCAAGTGCTGTCTATGTGTTGACAACCCCCAAATCTATTCTCTCCAGCCAGACCCTCTCCCAGGCTGCAAAACCAAATAGCCACGGGCCCGTCTGACAGTTCTCTGGGCAAAGGGGTGATGTGTTTAAAAGGCACCTCAAAAACTTGTCTAAAACCAAACTCGCGATCTTCCCATACAAATCTGGCCCCCTCCACTGTTCACTGTCTCATGAGTGGGCCCTCTGTCCGTTTGCCTGGCATCCATACATCCTCTATCCACGTCCGAAAATCCTCTCGTCTATCAACTTTAATTCTCTCCATCTCTGCCATCACCATCGTAATCAAAATTGCCCTCGCCTCTTCTACACCACAGCAGCCTCCTATCTCAATTTCCCCATCTCTTCTTCCACCTCTGATCCTTTCCAAAGTTTCCAGAAAAATCTTAAGGTGTAAACATAATTATGTCACTCCCTGGGCTTTAGCCTTCTGGCGTCCAAAGCTCTTGAGTACAAAAATTAAACTTACCACAGCTTATGAAGCCCCATGAGAGAGTTTAACACTTCTGCACACCACTACCTTCTCCTGCCCCGGATCCACTTTTCTTCTCACAGAATGCCCTGCGTCCCGCCAAACACACACACCAATTCCTGTATCTTCAGACCTCAGCTACTCCACCTAGGTCAGACTCCTCAGTGAGCATCAAATCCCCACAAGCATTACTTATCTCTTGAGCACCTACAATGTACCAGACACTTCTGGAAATAAAGCAGTCGGTCAGAGGATTTATCTTGTTCTTAAAGAACTTACTATCTAGCCTGAGTGGGAGATACAGGGAATAAATATGCAAGTAAGTTTCAGATTCTGATAAATGCCAGAAAAGAGAGATGTAGGGTAATGAAGTCATCCTCACTGCACCCTATCCTTTTCTTTCTACAACTTGTAATTTTGTGTGTAGTTGATTAATGTCATTGTCTCCCCATAGCACAGTGCCTGAAAAAGAGTAGACACTCAGTAAATAGTCGCTGAATGAATGAAGCTGGGATCTACCCTAAGTGAGTAGGCTTATACGATTCGCTTCCCTTGGAATTCACTTTCCCCGTGGTGTCCCTTTGAGCTCGAGTATGTATCGGCATCTGTACTGAAGAGAATTTACCAACTAATTATCTTCTGCATATGAGGCTGTCAGAGCACTCTTACCGACTACCTTACTAAGTAGCAGGGATACTTTGGGACCGTTTTGAAAAGCAAAATCCGGCGGGAGGGGGTTCTTACCCTTTTTCGCCTTTGTTGATAAATTTCTGAACCTCCTTCACCCCGCGCCGAATCTGCTTCTGTTTCACGGCTGCCACGACAGGAGAGTCAGTCTGGGGGCCCTTGACCCACCACCCGCGTCCCGGCCCGGCCCACCCAGGTCCGCCGCACCTTTCTTGATGCATTTGTAGAGCTTCCTCGTGAGGCGGCGAGAAGCCAGGGGCTGGGCAATGGGGTTCAGATTCACCAGCAGCTCATGGTAAGTGCGCTCCCCGCTGCACGCGTCCGCCTGAGCCTCCCGCCCATCCGAATCTGCCTTCATTTTGGTCATCGCAGCGACCGTGGGGGCAATCGAGCACCTCAGATGCAAACCCACGCGGAGCTTCAGGAATCACTTCCGGGTCATGTCTCTCTGCGGAAAGCCGGCAGTACACCACAGCCAATTAGGAACCCGGGTCTCTGACTCAGACCAATCGTTGAAGCTCAGCTCCTTAAATACAGCGGGTGGGGGCGGAGTCTCGGCCGTAGGGGCGGGATCACTCCCATAACTGAGGCGGGGCAAGGCAGAGCGGATTAGGATCTGAGTCGGAGGGAGTCTGAGGCGAGGGGCGGGGCCCGGAGAAGGCGGGACCCGGGGAAGGCGGGGGCTGGGGAAGGCGGGGCCTGTACAAGGCGGAGCCCCGAGGGAGGCGGGGCCCGGAGACGGAGGGGAGGGACTAGGACACCCGCTTGGGCTCCTCTGAGAGTCCGGCTTCTCCCCTCCCGGCGGCGGGAGGAGCAGGAGCGTGTACCTCCGGGGACGTGACCACGTCTAAGCGGACGGAATCCTTGCCTAAAATGCGGCGTGGAAGAATGGGAGTCTGCTCCGTGCGATTCCAAATCTCCTTCGAATCCGATCCTCAGATGCGCCGCACGGAGCCTGGTCAGGTCCCGAGCCCGCAGCTGGTCCCGCCCGAGGGGTGCACCCTAGTTGCCAAGGTTAAGATAGAGTCTGACACCGGCACTTCTCCCACTCTGCTTTCTCTTTCCTGGAGAGGGGCGGCCCCGCTCACTGAGCGCTCGGTCTGGACCGCTCTTCCCCAGAGAGCGGGGCTCGCTCCCACCCTTCCCACTCAGGTATTTCCCGCGGGAGAGGTTCTTCCGACCACCGTGTCTGAGACTGCAGTCCAGCCGACTCCCCACTGGCAACCCTAACCCTGTTTCCCCTGGTTCCTACCGCCACATGGCACCGCACACACGGCGCACATCGCGGAAACAGCTGGCGGTTGCTGAGCTTCGGGAAGGCAGCGTGAACGCTGGGGACCGGCACTGGGTCTGAGACTTGGAGGTGTGGCGGAGGAGAGCTCTGAGTAGGCGCCCCGTTTGCAGTTGTCTGTAGAGGATTAGTGGACGGTGACGCTGGGGAGGCCAGCAGGCCTGGGCTGCGGTGGACCTTGTACCTCTGACTTATTTCTTGTACCTTGTCTTGGAACATTGGATGAATGATAATTTGATCATTGCTATAAGTTAATTGCCTTTGATTATGCGGTGGTAGGCCTGCCATTTTTGTGGTGGTGGAACAGGTCACAAAGTGGAACTTTAGAAGTCTGCAGCTGGCCTTGCCAGCACAGGGTGTCTAAGCCAACTGAAAACCTAACCTTTAAACCCTGTAACCACGTGTAGACCTTACACAAAAAAACATAGTTTTTTTTTTAATTTTGTATTTTAATAAAGAAAATTAGGATACAATTCCTGCTAACCTTAGACCCCAAATAATTTCACAAATAGAAAAATACATCAGTTGAACACTGAGAATATGTTCCATAAGAAACAAAAAATAATTTGAAAATAAAGGTTGTATGCACAGTGTAACCCCAAATTGACCTTTTAAATGTTTTCACTTTGGAATTTCTTGAGAAAATATAGTGGCTCCTGAACTTTAGGACTAGGGGTTACTGCCAGCATTGCCTGACTGTCCACTGCATTGCTATACAATTTCTCACCCCAGACCCAACCCCCACTCCTCCCTCTTCCTCAGTCCTACAGTAACAGTTCTGGCCCACCCTGGGGAGACCTCCCCAAGAGGCAAGTGAGAGCAGAGCTCCTCTGAGCATAAGGCTGGCAGGGCTCTGCAGGATGGTTTTCTGCTCCTCTTTCAGCCTTGTGGGGTGGGTAACAACGTGTCAGGGTTGCAAAGGGGAAAGGTGCTCCCAGATGTGTGCATGGGGCATAACGAGTTCCATGGAGAATTTCATCCCTGGGAAACCCAATTGAGGCAAATGTGCTTGACTGGTCTTGGTTATGAAGGCCTCTCAGTTCTCATGTGGAAGAAGGAAGGAATTAACATTTATGTGCCAAGTGTAATGTCTTATCCAGTGCTCGCAGAGAATATCTTTATTATTCATAATTTACGGAGGCTCATAAAGGGGATTGCTCCATCCCGCTCACACAAAGCTGAATTTGAACCCTGGTCCACTAGTCTCCAATGCTCTGCTCACCTCCTGTGACTTCATGTTCAACTTTAGCTCAAAGGTTATGAAATGTGGCTGGGTAGTGAAAGTATAGGAATCTTGGCCTGGCCAGGTCACAAGTGTCAGCTTTTTGAGCCAGAAAACAATGAAGTACAAAGAACAAATCTATCTTCAGTAAACCCCACAGTGTATTTCTCACACCGGTCTCGGAGATCTGTGCCAGATCCGAGGCGGTTTGTGTGACTTCACTGATTTTGTTTGGCCACTCACACTCACTTGAAGCAGTCAGTGTATACTGGGTGAGAATGTAATGGCTAATGGGTTGGAGATCAGGGTTCTAAATGACAAATGACACTGGGCAATTCGTTTAACCTCTCTGGGCTTCAGTGCCTTGTCTATAAAATGTGAAATTTAGACCTAGATGGACTAAGGTCCTATCTTTTAAAAAGTTGGGGATGATGATGATTTTTTTTTAACTGAGATATATGGGAGGAGGGTATAGTTCAGTGGTAGAGCACATGCTTAGCATGCATGAGGTCCTAGGTTCAATCCCCAGAACCTCCATTAAAAAAAAAAAGGAAATAAATAAACTTAATTACCTCCCCCTTCAAAACATTAATAAAATAAAAATGAATAAACCCATAAAAACTGTCTAAAAAGTAAATTGAGATATAATTCCTATATATAATTAACTCATTTAAAATATACAGTTCAGTGGTTGTGGTATATTCGCCGAGTTGTTCAGCCATCACCACAATCAATTTTAGGACATTTTCATTGCTTCAAAGAGAGCCCCACACCCTTTAGCTGTCACCTCTGTCCCCTCATCCTCCCTGGGCCTAAGTAACCACTAATCTACTTTCTGTCTATAGATGTCCCTGTTCTGGACATTTCACAGAAACGGGATCATTATAGTACACGGCCTCTTGTGTCTGGCTTCTTTCACTTAGCATGTTTTCAAGGTTTGCCCATGTTGTAACACGTGTCAGAGCGCCATTTGCTACACAACAGTCCACTCTTTGGATATACCATGTTTTATCCATTCATCAGTTGATGGACTGGGTTGTTTCCACATTTTGGCTGTTGTGAATAGCGCTGCTTTGAACATTCACGTGTAAGTTTTCATGTGGGCATATGTTTTTTATTCTTCTCTTGGATACATACTTAGAAAAGAATTGCTGGGTCATGTGGTAACTTGTTAACTTTTGGGGGAAATACCAGGCTGTCTTGCAAAGTGGCTGCACCATTTTACATTCCTACCAGCAGCATGCAAGCGTTCCAATTTCTCTTCATTCTCATCAATACTTACTGTAATCTGACTTTTTCCTTATAGTCATCCTAGTGGGTGTGAAGTGGTATCTCATTGTGGGTTTGATTTGCATTTCCCTGATGGTTAATGATGTTGAGCAACTTTTCGGGTGCTTATTGGCTGTTTGTGTACTTTTGTAGAAATGCTTATTTGCCCATTTTAAAATTAAGGATGAGTTTTTAATTGACTTAATTTTTTTTCTTTATGGGGAGAGGTAATTAGGTTTATTTATTTACTTATTTTAATGGAGGTACTGGGGATTGAACCCAGGACCTCGTACATGCTAACCATGTGCTCTACCACTGAGCTATCCCCTCCCCTTCTTATTTATCAAGCTAGATGCTTTCTCTAGAAGCTCATGTTCAAATAGAAGTTTGCAACTGGTGTCTCCCCAGAAGAGAAGCCTGAGATTTCAGGACAGAGCCTAAGGAGAGAGGGACCATCAATGGGATTCTGGAAGGTAGAACCTTCCTCAGACACAACTGCTTAGGTGCTTTATGCACCTTACTGCATAAAGCTAACTGCTTAGAAAAGTCAGCTTGGCACTTGAGAAAGTTGAGTTTCTTTAGGGTCAGGATTTTGGCTTTGGAATTTAAAATGTATTATTTGAAAGGTGATAATATTTATGTTAAAATTTTTTTCAGATAGTACATAAGAATATAAAACAAAAAGTTAAACATCCTTCCTCCTCAACCCCTATTCCCTGATTTAAGCTCTCCAGAGACACTTACCATTAAGTTTTATTGTGTATACATGCAAATATATTTGTTTACATACGTTAAATGATATAATACACTGTCTGGCAATTGTTTCCACTCATCAATATATCTTGGGAAATTTTCCTATTTTCGCCATAGAGATAAACCTCATTCTTTTAATGCGTTGTCATATCACGTTGTAAGCATTTCCATAATGTAGTTGACCAGCTCCTAGTGATGGACTTTAGTTTTGTTTTTAGTGCTTTTACTATTTTGAATAAATTTGCAATGAATCTTGTGTAGTATCTTCGGTACTTTTGTGAGTCTATCCGGGGAAAAATCTCTAACATTTAGGTTTTGATGGGTGCGGTATGGTCCAATTGTCCTCTAAAGAGGTGTGGTTTACAATTGTTCTGATATTGTCTCTACATCGCTTGCGAAGACTGGGTTTTAGCAGCCTTTTATCAGGGGGAGGAGGGGTGGTGATGATCCAGTGGGGAGAAATAGTGTCTGCGTTTATTTACATTTCTTTAGTTCAGAAGGAGGCCAGACAGTTTATATTTTTATAGGTCATTTATGTTTGTTTTTCTGTGAACTCTCTATTCTATCCTTGTCCAGTCTTTCTATAGGGTTGTCTCTTAGTGCTTTAGAAAAGCTTTTTGTATTCAAAGGAAAATTTTCTAGTGCTTTTGTGGTTTCACCGTTTATATGAAAAATTTTGATCATCAGTTTTAATGTGAGTGTTAGGAACAAGGCAGGGCTCCAGCTTCGCTTTTTTCCAGGTGGTTCGCCATTGTCCTCAGGCCATTGATTGAATCCTTCCTCTTTCCATCCATTCATTTAAAATGCCTTTGTGTTGTGCTGGACTCTAATACGTGCTTGGATCTCTTTCCAGTCTCTCTGTTCTTTTTCTAGTATGAAGCTGCTTTGAAGGCTCTAGTGTTTGGTTTGTTTGTT